ATGGATATGTAGTAAAATAACCAGACCGTTTTGAGAAAGCAAGGAGTAGATAATACAGATATTTGTGTTTGAATGTAACAGTAAATAAGTCCTCGGAAAAATAAATACTAAAGTAAAATACAGATACGAATAAAGCTACTTAAATACAGTAAGTATTTACATTTTCTTGACACTTTTATTAGAAAGAATGCTATTGATCACATTTTTTACTTCATTGGAGTGATTTCCTTTTAAAATATCAACCATGTGATTCTAATAAATTAGGCTTATTTAAAAGAGAATTTGCTCCTTCAGACATACTTTTAAAAAAAGATTTTTCAAAAAAATTTTATTTCATTAATAAGATTGAAATGTGTTTTTGTTGGTATGTCTTTTCATGAAATGATCAACCTTCCATACAAATACAGTATATTAAGTAGTTTAAAGTCAACTTAATGATTGGAAGTTCACCAGAACAATCCCAAAGTATTACACTTCCACTGCCATGCTTAAAAGATGGTTTAATATTGTGCTGATATCCTTTGTTTGGTTTTCCTTACACAAGCGGCTGGGCATCATAGCCCTAGACTTTCAGAAACTTGCCTTTTTATCTGTTATATGAAGAGGCTTTGCAAAATAAGCTATTTGAACATACATTAACGACTTTCCGTGCCAGTTACCCTCAGTTGGGTCAGCGTGGGCTGTTTCCAGATTCTTGGTTGCTCCCCTGCAGATCTCCTCCCCCGTCTGGCACTGATGAGGTCATTGCTGTGTGGGCAAGCAAACCATATGTTGCATCAAAACTGTGTGAAAGCCCTAATCTCCTGCAAGGCATTACACAACGCCTTCGCCAAAGGGGGCAATCATTCATCACTGCTGGAAATAAAAAAAATAAAACATTTCTGATCATGAAGGTATAAAGACTAAAAGGTTAGTTGTTTTGGTTTCTTTTTAACCTATTTTTTAACTTAAAAAATATACATTGGGCCTTATGGGGGTGTAGTCCTGGGTTAAATGACCAGCCTGCATAGAGTTGACATGTTTCCTTGTGTATGTTTGGATTATCTCCAGGTACACCTGCTTCCAAAGTTCAAAAACATGACTGGTGAGGTAATTGGATACTCTAAATAGCTCTAGGGTATAAGTGTATGTATGTGTGGTTTTTTTATGTTGTGTTGTTATTCCCAATAATCAATGAAGCTACAGATGCCAGCCCTTCAATTAAAGCCTGCAAGGTCAAGCAGATAAAGATAGAATCAAGTTAATCATGGATAGCTCATGGATGCAAACACCTTGGACTGGAATTCCTGCTTGGAAGATCATGTGCAGGAATGTTTTTTATTACTGTGGAGTAAAAGAAAACTATGGTTGAGAGAAAGAAATGAACTAAACCCATCTGTAGTTTGCCACATTCACAAATGCAGGAGACAGCAAATATTAAAGTCATAGGGAAATGACACAGACGTCCATCCACGTGATCACTGGGACGGAACTCAAAGGTAAAGGAAATTATTCTTATTTCAACCATTGCGTATATTAGCTGCGACATATGAATCAAGATTTTATAACCGAAAAAAATTGATTGTGTCATGAGAGAAACGGATGTGAAGTTTGACGGGTTTTATTGAGGATGTTAAGCTCGGTGCAGAGTTTCTCTGAACTCTGCTAGACCGGAACTGGAAGATGAGGGGAAGACAGACTATTAGTTCAGGCGCAGTGGGAAATTTGATTCGTTGATTTGAAGCAGAGGATCTGGTTGATGACTCACGTTTCCAGAGAAGTGAAGGATCCTTGACTCCAATCTGTGTGTTGGTTTCCAGTGTTTGTCTGACTCAGTGGAGGGCGGAACAGGGTTTACCCAGAACTCGGACGGTGTAGGGGAACGGAGATGCTGATTGCCACTCAGATTTTCTGCTGTACTTCAACGGGTCATGGTGAAGGTGCTTCCCTTGCTCAGAGAGTAATTTCAACGTCCTGAAAGGAGACTGGATCCAAACCTCCTGTTTGAATCCCTCGCTCAGTTTAAGACTCAGTTGATCCCTCCTTGGAGAGGAGGTCCGAACAGGTCCAGTTTGCAAGATGACTTCCTGCCGAGAGGCAAAGACAAAAACAAAGTTAAAACTCAGGGAGACAAGAACTCAGACTTATTCAGAGAAAACTCAGCTTGGCTAGAGTACCCCAAACTGGCAAACACTCTGGCGTCGAGGTAGTGGCAATCAGCAGCTTAAGAGCACTCAGTTAATGAGGTAACCGTCAGCAGGTTTGTGAGGAGGCGAACCGGAACCAGGCGCCTCCTATTGGTGGAAGGAAGACAAACACACAAAAAAACACACACACACACAGACAGGAGCCCTGACAGATTGACAGATCACCGTTGATATACAATTGGTCGAATTTAGGTGTACAAGCTGGCATTTAACTAACTGGCCTGCATAAGATAACGGAAAAACCCCCCACAGATTTTAAGACAGGATTTTTGTTTTTTTTATAGAAAATTTGTAAATTTTGGGCCAATATAGTCTGATAAAGAGTACGGTACACATACACATTTATATACATGTTTAAGCCAGAATAAATTGACATTTAAATATGACTTCTCTATGACTTTAAGGAGAAGAAGCTCTGATCAGGTGACAACAAAATGTGAAAACACCAAAACTATACGTTTGATATAAAGCTTTGAAATCATCATATCACCACAAAACAAAGAGGAAGTTGCATCATACTGTGGGAATCTTTTTTTTTCTCAGACAGGGAACCTGGTCAGAGTTTGGAGGCACAATGGAATCCAAACTTTAAAGATTTTCATTCATTTTTCAATCTTGGGAACCCGTGTATCATTTTTTTTTCATATACCCTTTAACAGGAAAATGAATGGATACATCTTTATTTTCCAAATAAAACAATGAACGAGGACAAGATTTTTTTGAGGCATTTGCTAATAAAGCTATGCACATATTTATACATCAGTGCTGTTTAAACTAATTTATGGTTCTACATAATACAATAAATGAGCTGAGCAGTTGTTCTTCACTTTAATTACATGGAAGATTCCTAGATGACTGGAGATACAAAGGCCCAATCCCAATACACCCCTTACTTTCAACCACTAGCCCTTACTCGCTGCCACTAGCCCTCACCCACTACTCACACAGTGGCATTGAAGCCACACTAGTCTGGGCTTCGTAATCTTCTCTGGGAATTGGGACACCCCTCATTGGATTGTTGTTTTTCTGGTTTGCAAACGACTGCAAGTATGCACATGCATAAGATATGTGGCACCAAATAGAAGAGACAAAATGTTAAAAAGAAAAAAACCCAACAACCATTTAAACTGAAATTGTAAAATTGGAATAAAGCTGAACGCTTGCCCTTGAAAGGGACTATTAAACCCAGCTCATAAATTATAGTGTAATAAATATGCTAATTACGTAACCATAGGACACATTTACACAGAGCAATGCCAATTTTTTTTATCTTTTTTTTTTTTTTTTTTACAAAATTAAAGATAGAAAAAGAAAATAATGAATACACAGGATGAAGGGTGGCAACCTCTTAGACAGGTTTTTTGGGTAACTTTTAAAAACTCTGTCTTAATTTAGCAGGACTGTTTCATCACCCTATCTCCAGCGCAGATATCGTCCAGCTGTCTGCCCGACAGGCTGTGCTAATCCTCTGCTGTACTAATTAGATCTCCTGTGGTTAGCCTAGAGGCTAGTTCCGGCCAGCCGTGGTGTCTCTAAGCGCTGTCTTCCTGGCAGGCATCTCCGATGTACTGCGTTCCTACTCCCGGCCAGCCGTAGTCCCACTTCCCTTCCTTCAGCATTTTGTCTAACCAGCAGATTTATCCCATCTTCCATATAGGTCTATAGCTAGCCCCGGTCAGCTGTAGCCTCTCCTGCACTCTCATCCTGAGCTAGCATCAATAAGCTGCTGCCTTCCCTGTAGCACTGTTTCCTCGGTGGGCTCCTCTGATCTCCTGCTGTGGTTCTTAGCTCCAAAGGCGGGCAGGGCTGGCAGCCTCTTTCCATTTCTGGTACTTTCTCTGCTGGTGTTATAGTACTGATTTTCTGCTGCTCCTGACTGAGCTCCAAACCAATGTCTCACTTCACCTCTGGGGAATCAGGTGAACCCAGAAAGCTGTTGCCGATGGCTTTGTTTGGTCTCTACAAAATGTAAATAATAAACAAGCAAATAAAAATAAAAAACTGTGAGTCACCCCTTAAGAATCTCTGTCCTCCATGTTCTCTGTGCAATTGTCTCTGGCACTTCTCCCACAAGTCAGCAGGAGTCTGAAATTGCTTGTTTGTAAGAGCTAGAACTAGGCCTACTTGTTCCAGGGGTGAATGTTGGATTGGTGTTACTTTTGCCTGGATTCATTTTTCATTTCCAGTTAATTTTGTTTGTTTGTATCATTCTCTCATCTGTTTAAAAAAACATTTTGCACATAACCTTTTGGTCTGTCTTTATTACATTATTCTAAATATCAGATGTTATAGGCTCAATGAAAACTCATTACTTGAGTAACGTTTTTACCAAATACAATTTTACTCATACTTTCTTGTCCAGTTCTTAGATTGTCACTTTTACTTGAATATAAATATGATGAAGTGGTGTTACTCTTACTTAAGAACATGTTCAGGGTTCTCTACCAACCTTCAGGAAGGATCAAAGTAAAGATGCAGAAAAAGAAAGATTCTAACCGTGCTCATCATGTGCCGCTGTCTGTGGTGCTGAATTTGGGATATTTTTATTTGTGTCCAGGTTTTTACTGCTTTTACAGCATAATGAAAACTCTTTGGTCGGACATGTGCATACCCTTATCTAGCTGTGTCAGTTGCGTGGGATGTGGGGTGGGTTTTCACCACAGGAGAACCCCAGGGACGAGAGGGGATTACCGAGAAGAAAATATCGCGTTATTGCTTTCTCACTTTAATCTCTGCATCCGCTTCCTATGAAATAATAATAATAAAAATGTGAATGAAAGAAAAGAGGGAATGTGTTTTGGGAGGAGGCGCTAGATGTTTACGGGAATCTGCAGCAGCCCAATGGAGGAGTTGAGAGAGGGATGCATTCCTAATGAGTAGCAACTACCAGCCTGGTTGCTTCGCTTTGGACGCGTCGTCCTTTGTGCTCAGAGGTGGAGCCAAGCTGACACATCTTCGGCTCCAACAACAACAAAAAGCGGACGAACTTTGAATCTGACATTAAAAGCTGGGAGCTGATTATTATAAGGCTTTTTCTTTTTTATGACGGTCCAACCAATAATACTGAAGCTGCAGACCTTCTGGCGAGATTTCAAGGATGCTCCGAGAGGAGAGGGATCTCTGAGCGCATAGAGGGCAGCATGTCTGTCTGCAGAGAGGGGACAGCGAAGCTAAGGAGACTTTCATTGCTGCTTTGTTAGAAGCATTTCTTTTCTACATGAGAATTAGAGAGAATGTCAACGCTTGACATGTGCGTGTTTCCACGGATTTCCTCTACGTGACCCCGGTCTCGTTCGGATGCGCCAGGACGCCGCCGCTGCCGGTTCATGCAGTTCGGATGCTGACGCCCTGCCTTCTAAAAAAAAAAAAAAACATAGCAGTTAAGGCAAAGCATTGATTTTGCGAGGGAAGCCTCTGCTTACTTCATTACGCCATGGATGACTCGGGAATAATAAGGCGCCGCAGGCTGCAGGTGAGCCCTGGAGTTCCTCTTCATCTGTTTAAAACCTCTCCTCTTGTTTCTAAGTTTCCCCCACTGATCTAAATTTGTTTTGAACCTGAGGACAGCGATCTGGGTTTAGTTTGGGGGGAATTTTATAAGAGGTCGCTGTCAACAGTCTGAGTGTATGGAGAATATTAAATCAGCAATCTTTGCCATAGGTCTCAGTTTTTATGTATATAAATCTAAACTATTAATTCTGACTCATGCTGTGTTTTGAGGCTTACTGGAAGATGGGCCACCATCCAGCTTATCACCTTCAGAATTATTATCCTTTATTTAGCTTCATCAACCATCACATTTACTTTGACCCTTCTATCCCACAGCATAATTCCCCTACCACCATGTAGTCAAATTATATTCAGTGCAGAGTTACATTGCTACTACATATAGTGTCTTGCATACTCTCAGAAACTTGTTTTGTGTCCATAATGTGAGGCTGTTACATAAAAAAGAATATCATATTTCCTAGAGTCTCTCAAACATATTTTATTCAACTAAATGTTATAAATATTAAATCTGTACAGTATAACACTACTATTAGAATGTCACACAGGAGCAACCTGACTGGTTTAATATTTAAATTTAGTATACGTGTTATATCAACATATTCTCATTATCAGTTCGTATGAAATTGTATACGCAGGCAGACGAAAAAAGCAGATCCGCGTGCAATAATCACTTCTTCAGGTCTCTAGCTACGTTGCTTGTTGTTTTGTATCTTAGGGTTAGGGTTAATTTTATGTTAAATTCTATGTTATTTAATGGTGCGTAAGATGCGCATGCGCAAGGATATCTTGTCTCGAGGCAAGACGTAAAAATACGACGAAATGCGACGGAAAAAAAACGTCTGAAACGTACGAAATTACAGTGCATAACTTTTCGTACGATTTCATACGAACTGATAATGAGAATATCCAATGCTGACAGAAATGTTTCAGAAAATCCCCAAAAGCAGAATTTCTGGTCCCTCATTCACGTTTTACAAAGACAATATGGCACTGTGATGTCATAGCTCCAACTCTGTCAGATTTGCCTTCAGTTTAGGTTTTGGATGTTGACCGGGTCAGCCTAACAGCATTTACTTTTGCAGCCTTTTACAAATTTCAGTAAAAGACTTCAATGACTCTGCTAAAATGAATAATTCCCTCAGCATTATTCTGCCACCATCTCAGCTGAGTCTAAGACTGACCTTTTAACAACACAAATAAAAATGTTGTTTGGTATAATTTAATAATGGTTATGAAAATGCACATTTTGCACACTGTTTGCTACGGTGGAAAGTCAGTTATGCTGTGGGCTTGTTTCCCTTCCAAGAGGCCATTTGAACCTACTGGTGCAATCTACTAGTAAATCAAAAAGAGATCCTGTTATGGGCTTTGAAATGAAAAATGACCAATTTTAAAATTAATGATTTCATTGGTGTCTTTTTTATTATTCTTTCACTTTTTAGAGTGAATCCAGTTTATTTCTGTACTAAATCAGGTCAACATACATTTAATTTGCTAATGCGTCGCTTTGCCGTGGTTCATCTGACTTTAAGGTTCAGCCTTATTTCTGCCGTGCTCCGTCTCTTCGAGGAAATCTACGGTTATGAAGGTGCAGTGATGCATGGTGATCTGATGCGTTCAAATGACTGTGCTCATCCATTATGAGGCAGCCTGCGTAACCAAGGGGTCATACCCCCCCACCCCCCTCCCAACACTCTGCGGTTCAGTCAAGTGAACTGAGCAGAGATGAGCCGCCTGCAGGCCGTGCAGACAGCAGCTTCCTGTTAGCTTCTGCACAGCCATGCATGTGTTTGTGTGCACCTTCCTATGTACCGCTGTGGGTACATTTCATTTCTCAAACTAGTCTGCGCTCCGGTGGTTTCATTTACTGAGAAGGATAATCATGAAGGTTCAGTCAGAATGGCACCTGTGGGCTAAGTGGGAGAAAATTGACCCCCTATTGTTTTGCAAAGATGGAGAGGGCTTTCAGAGAAGCAAGTGAGGGTTATAGTAAGACTAAGGTGTGCATATGTGTCTTTTTCTCATCGTCCTCCTGCTGCTCTGCTGATGTGATGTGTGACGGAAGCTGAGAGGAAAATTAATCATGACAATCAGTCAGACTCACAAAGTACCTGACTGTCCATTGATATGATCAGCCTTGCAGAGTGATTAAATGTCAATACAGTGCTCAACCTCTGCAAAGGTATTCATATACTTCAATTCTTTTCCCATTTTCTCATATTACAGCCTCATAATATTCACATTTTGACTTAATTTTAGATAGACTAAGAGATTAAGATAAAGTGACTGCAAAACTTTTGTGGTATGTCTCTATCTTTCATCAGACATTTGGACACATTTATTTTTGCACCACACTTCCAGCATCCAAACGGAAAGAAACTAGCTGTGAAAATCTGTTTTCAAGTCTTTTCACATATTCTCAGTCTGATTTATTTCGGAACCTTGACTTTTCCATTCCAACACATTAATATTCATGACAACCTTTCCATTGTGGGTTTGGCTGTATTTTGAGCAGCCTTTAACAGATTGTCTTTCAGCTTACAAATGATTTATTTCATCACATTTTACAATAATTTAAAATTTTGCGTCGATCTGTTAAAAAAATCCAAGTAAATACATCCAGTTTTGCTGTAAAAATTTAAGGAAAAACTTCCAAAAGCACAGTTTCTCTGTCTCTGAGAGTAAATTGTACATATGTGCCCAAAATGTGTGTGCATTTACCTTCTCTACACAGATGTCACATTAATTTGCTAGCTTTATGGCATTGTGTATCTATAAAATGCCTTGATGAAAACTGATTGGCTTTGCATGCTTTGTTAAGCTGCTGTGTCAGCCCCATGGGTCTCATCATCCCAGCCATTTCTCTCTCTCTCCCTCTCTCTAACGCTCCCTCTTTCAGCACCATATGGTGACACACCCCACTTCCCTGCAGTTGAGGTCAGAGGTCACAACCATGATGCATTTTCTATGACATGACTAACATTTAAAGAAATGAAAACAAGAAATCATGCTCCTTTTTTCCAGTCTGTTCTTCACAGGATCTATAGCATCTACTAAGAATAGGATTAAAAAACATTATAAACATTTTTCAGATATATAAACAATATTTCATAGAGCGTATGAAAATAAAGTATAATCCAATTGCATAAAAAAGAAAAGTTGTTACCGTTAAATTATGGTATGTAGGAACACATAAAAACTCCCCGAAAACTTTAGACTCTCACCCCTGAATACATTTTCCTCCGTTCATTAAGCCTAGTGCTAAAATTCCTGTTTAAAGGAGTCAAAACCTGTATTTTTCTTATACAATCCTTCTGAAATAGTCTTTAAATTAAATTAATGTTTAATTATTTATAGGAGATAAGAAATTTAAACTCATTCAGATCCCTTTTCATGCCCTTTTTAGAAAAAAATTCAGGAGGCTACAAAGAAAATTTGACTTGTGTGTCTGCTCTTCATCATGTGGATGAAGAGTTAGCAACATTAGCAGTTAGCCATCGTTTGATAACCATGTTCTTTTGGTCTCTTATTTCATAGGTAAATAGTTACAGGATCAGCAACACATATTGAATGACTCCAGGTGAATCCTTGATTATTGAAACTGCTCCTTTTGGTGGAATAGTGATAGGAGCAATAATATCAAGCCTTCCTTCTGTGAATGGTGTAAATCGAGCAGGGGGACCTAAATCTTCCTCTGCAACGAGCCAACTCCTGTGAACATTTCTTATATGAACAGGGGGATTTTAACTAAGGCACAACTCTGACAAACATAGCGTGAAAACGTCACATTTGCAGGTTATGACACCTTTAACACATTGCAGATCTGGCTGCAAAGCTTGTAGCAAACTTTAAATAGGATGATTTATATATTACCTAATGCAGGGGTCACCAACTTTTTTTTATCCTGAGGGCTACTTCATGGCTACCGAGTCATAGGAAGGGCTACCAATACTGACCTATGAACTGGAGGGATCAGTGTTCACCTACAGAAAATCTCAGCCATAAAAACTCATTTTTATTCTTATTTTATTCTTTTATTCATTTCTAATTTTCTTTTTAATATTGTCATTTTGAAACCACTGAAATATGATGAAATAGTACATAAATGATTGAAAAGAAGAGCAACAGAATAAAAAAATAAATAAACTTAACCCACTGAGTGAGTTCTTCTGTTTTCAGAAGACGAAGAGGGCACCCCATGTGGTCCTTGAGGGCCCCTTGGTGCCCGCGGGCACCGCGTTGGTGACCCCTGACCTAATGCAACTTACAAATACTGGCCACGTTTGTGGAATGCAAAAGAAGTAGTTGTCGTATCAGCTCCTCCAGAGTTAGCATGTGCCGTTTCACCATCTTTATAGGCTTTGATTAATCATATCATTGTTGATCTAGCATTTTACATGGATAACAAAGTTTTTCTGGCACCATTGGTCTTTAAATTGAAGTCAGCTGTCAGGA